GTCATTCAGAAACCTGCCTTGCCTTGTGTGTCATTGCATTTTAATTAGCAAATGTCGCTACTGTGTATGGTCTCTATGTCTGAGGACAATGAATCACCAAACTCCTACTGTGAACAACAGTACTGATCTCATTTAAATGAAGGTGTTTGATGGTTGGATGGTTGGATCAACACAAAGCTGATACAGTGTTTCACTGTTTCTAATAAGCTGTCTTATGTCTTGAGCATTTGGTATAGAAAATTGCGAGAAATGCCACTAATCTTTGTAATCTACAAATTCAACCATGATTATCTCACGATCTGCTGTATGCATGGTAAGGCTACACATGATGAGCTATCATATACTATGAAAGGGAAAAATGGCAGGGATGGATCCCAGCCATCCAAGACAAGTGATGACGTGTGATGACGTACTGGTTGTTGCATTAATGTTGTGGAACAAGTTGTCCACTATATCGCGATAGAAACATAATTACATGTGGTCAAAAGACCAAAGCACGCACCATCTCATCCCGCCACAGATTCCTTTCCTTCCTCTTTATTTGCAACGGCAAACAAATATCATGCATGTTGGTCATATTTTGCATTGTAGGAAGATGCCAAAGAAAGTTAGCCAACTAATCTGCCAATTAAATGAGTCATTGGTTGGCTTGGAGCAGCGAGGCTTGGAGCAGCGAGGCCAAACGCTTCATGGACATTTGGACAGACGGGCACATTCGTCATATCTTGGACAAGACTAACAAAAATTACAGAACTTTACAAACATGGGAGTCAGTGCAAGGATCAAGCGGACAGCAGTGTGTAAGGTTCAGACCAGCTCGGCTAAAGTGGAGGTTCAAAACTCCACTGAAATAACTGATAGCTTACATTTTGTAGCCATGTTTCCACACATAATAAATACAGACACACTCAGATAAGTTGGTGGCACTGGCAACCAGATAAACATGATCTAGATCAAGCCGCTATTTGGCACCAGCATGCAAGAGACTCTGTGTTTACTTGAGGCTTGAATTAACTTAAGTTTTACGGTAAGGTGAATAAGATTTCGTCTTCCAATAAAGTAGATGATAAAGTTTTTCTCTGCAGACAAACTTGGTGCAATACATCCGGAAACAACAACCAGCTGATTATCTGAAGTTAAAAATTGCAATGATTATGTGTTGTTTTGTCCACCTATAATGATGTGTTTTGTCCATCCTTTCACAAAGGTGTGAGTGACTGAAAACTGAATCAAAGGCTAAAAGCTTTGCAGTTTCATTCAATAATCAATATATTGTACCGAACAAATAATGAGTGTGTCTGCGGCTCCAAAAGGGATTAGTTTCTGTGTGCGAAAAACAAAACATGACCTTTTTTGCAAATTAATTTTGACTTTGAATAAAATATGCACTGCTGTGAGAATACATCAGCATGCTGGGACCATTTGATGGCAGCCACTTTAAATTCATTCTTTGTTGTTTTATTCAGTTTAATGCAGAAGGGAGGGGGCGCTTAATGCAACTCCAACAAAAGTGACTTTTAAATCATAAAAATAAACAAAATTCGTTAGCTGCTAATGTATCCAAATGATACACTGCCAGTCACCCCCACCACAGGCCCTTTGCACCTCCCTGTGAGAGTTTGCTCAACAGAAACTCGGCTCTGTGCCTCTGCAAGCCTTTAAGGGATGAGTGCATCATCCAGCAGAAGCAGAGGCTGTAGATGCAAAAACATATGATCTGCTCAGAAGTGTTTTGGGGACAAAACATGACAAAAATAGTTTCGGTTTGCCTCGGCTTGCCTGACACTCCGTGGGTTTTAAACTGACAAGGAACTCGCAGGTTTGCAGAGACTCGTGTAAAGGTGCTAAATCAGGATGGGGAGCCGCTCCCCCGAGCTTCACTCACATTTTAATTTGGTCACCACATGCAGAGCAGGAGACAGTGAACTCTCATCGTGCTGTCATGTAAATCATGTTGTCTAGTATTTGTTATGTTGCACCTGTTTAAGGGGTTAACAATAAGAACAACAAAGAAGTGCAAAAGCTTACGGCATAATGTAGCTGTGTTATTGTCAGTCAAATTAGCCTGTTAGCTTGATAACCTTAATGTATGAGTTTGCTAGGTGACGCAAATGTATCTTACTCACACGTGTTAATATTATGTTTTTTCATATTTATGCTGTGCAAGGATATGCAACACTACCAATGAAACCTGGTTCAGAAAAGAAGACTTGTACTTAATGTAGGTGATGGACAATCCAGAAAAGCAGCAGCCACTGCTGTTATCCAGCCTCGCAATGTTCCCTGTGAACAAACTGGGTGCTACCGCCAACTAGTGGTATGTTGGGTGTATATCTACTGATGCATGGTGCAACCGAAGCCGTATGTAGCCAGGCAGCCTACACCTGTGCACCGTCAACCCTGAAACATGTACAATGAAACATGTACCTTGTTTCAGCCCGAGTGCAAATCAAACCGAAGAGTCAAGATAAAAAGAAAAAAAATATTTAATCGTCATTAGTTTTTTTTTTTGCGGCCTGGTACCAATTGATCCATGGACGAGTACCGGTCTGGGGCCCAGTGGTTGGGGACCTCTGCTCTACAGGCTAAAGAATAAGAATAAGAAGAACTAGTAGGAAAGTAAGGAAGAAAGTAGTGTCTTATAGTAAAAAATATACATATATCTTCTGACTCCATTTATTGCGAATACTCAGAGATTGTAATTGTACAAACGGGTTTGTTTCTTCAGCTGCAGGTTCTGGAGCCAAAAAGCTGAGCCATTACAGCCATTAATAACCATGTTTACAATTGCAAATATGTGTAAACATTTGCAGTTTAGCCGACACATTTGTAAATCCTGCAAATCTGTGGACGAATTTGCATATTTGTGAATCTTGGCATACGTTTAAAAACGGTTTTGCTTCTACACATCACATTACTCTGAATCTATATTATGCACATCTTTTCTTTTAAGGAAAACATTTAGATCTACTCTTCAAGTTTAAATAAAAGATGTTTAAAATGTGAGATTTACTCAAACACAGTTAAGGTGTGTCTCCAGGCTATAAAAGAGGTAAATGAAGGTGAGGTAATCATCACACAGACAAACAAATCATCAGTAGCAGCCTTTTGTGTCAGGGAAGCAATGATCGATGTGTTTTGCCACAGGGAAAGTGATAATTAACTGTGGAGGTATAAGAGTGGTTTTGGGCTGCACAATCGAGTGTTTCATACATCAATAATGTCAAAATAAAAGACTTCTTTCATCAGCCACATTCACACTCAAATTCACCCTCACACACACAAACACACAGTAACGCTCCGACAAATCAGCCCCACTGATCACTTCCTGTTCTTTGGTCTATAAATAAGACTCCTCTGTCTGCACATGCCATTCTGTGAAAGTGCCACGGTGCGCGAGTGACTAACCGTGAATGAAGCACTTGATCTAAAATTAGATCGTGGCCCTGGTGAGAATAAAAAGGATCGAACTTGAAGAATTGATGGTGGAAGAGGAAAGAAGTAGCTGGAGGCAGTTTCGCATATGATCCAGGTTCTTAAGAGTCAACAGATGAAAACGCACAAAGCTGTTGGTTCGGAAGTAAAATTGGATCAACAAAAAAGTGATCAAACACTTCTGATAACTTTTAAGATCAGTCATAATTTATGCACAGATTTTCTTCCAGTAAATGAATTACAGCATGAGCATGAAGATGCAAATGTTCATGATTTATGAAACACTGGTTAAAGCTACATTGAGGGAGTTTTAGTTTGTACTGATTTTGGCGCCCCCTGTAGAAAAAAATGGTCTTATCTTTTTGCAGAGCTTGTCAGGTGTAAGCAGTGCTGTAATCTTATCTTCTCTTCTTATAACAACCACTAATACCACTGAGTAAACCGCATGAACTGGAGTGTTGCAGTAGGCTGAGGGTGAGCCTGATTCTTGGAGTTATCCAGGTAGTTAAATTAGGTTTCTAAAACTGGGATATGACATGGAAGCTATTGAAGGAAAACAGCCTTTTCTGGGAACATCAACCGGTAATTTATTGACGGTCCCTTATTCAACACCCAACGTTGACAGCGAGGGTGCTGAGTAGATTTAATCGCGCTGCTGTTGCCATTCCCGGTAATGGAAAGTGAGAAGACACTGGTAGGCGAATTTTTTTTTGTAGGATTGTAGGGGAAGGTCTTGCCCTCCTCTGCCTCTGATTGGCTAAAAGTGCTGGGCTTCGATTGATTAGTCCTTATGGCTGTGAAACGTCATCATCTGTCGGGTTAGGGTTAGGAGATTCAGAAGTGTGATAATGTTCTGTAATGGTCTGTTTGATGTACAGAGCCGACAGCCCGAGTTTGGCTTGAGTGTGTGATGACATTTCACAGCCAATCAGAGGCAAAGGAGGCGGGTCCTTTCCTTACCAACCTACAAAAAAATATATATCACCACCGGTAGATCCATGGTCAATTTCTGTGGAATATCCAACCTAAAACTAACTTCGCCGCGATATTTACATGAAAAAACACATATGCGAACATGTGCCCTTGTATACATTTTACAATTCGTACACATCTATTTTTTTGTCGCAAATGCGAGTGAAACGGTCGCAATGTCGAGCCCTGCCATATGTTCACTCACTGCAAATTTTTTCCTACGCAAAACGTTGAAAAATGGTTTAATCCCCTTGTTGCTGGTGGTCTAAATTGCTTTAGTAAACTATAAAAATGCACCAATATGAATTTTAGCCCATTTGATACCTCTAAAAAACTTCCTATAGAAGCTTTAACACATTTACATTACAATAAAAACCTCAATGTTTCCATATGAACTTTTAATCTCAGATTAGAAAAGAAAACACCCATGTGAAGACTTGTTTTCTTTCAGGCTGTATCAGTCACTCTATAACGATTAGTCTCTTGGTGTTATCGATGATAGGGTTTCATTCCTCCCCCTCAGAGAATAAAGGGGTTAAACACTTCTCACTGAAGAGCATCCAGCCCATCGGCGCTTCTCACATTCACACTGTGCCTTTCATTTCTCGGAGATTTCATACCCCGTGTCATGTGCTGCGGTCCGGCCCCCCACGGGGAACTCAAGCACGGCGGAGGCGCGGAGGTCGATCCTCCGGCTCTCTGTCCCCTCCTCTCCCCCTCCCCTCTCCTCCCCTTCGGCGTCCCCTACCGGCGCGTGCGGCCACACCTGCATTAAACGGGGGAAGTCCGTCCGGTGGAGAGGCAGCTCGAGAGGGACCGAAGGAGCAGGAGGCAGGAAGAAGGGGAGCACCTTCAGCGGATCCCACCGCGTTTTTGACTCTGCAGCTCGGACACTTTGATCCGGGAAAGGTGAAGACTCGAAGACACGGAGAGGTCTGTGCTCGCTGCTGGGACGTAATAACGTGAATGAAGATGAAAAAGAGGATTAAAAGACAAGTAGACCGTGTCGATACGGAGCTGAAGAGACCGAGTGTGGTCAGCTGAGCGCACAGGTAAGACCTGGATTCACATCAACTGAATACAGACAGGAAGGAGCCCCCTCTATACAACTTTTGACTTATTTTATGATTGTTTTTTCCTCATTTTAAACTTGAGCTGTCACAATAACTGCCTCCTCTTATATCGATGTTAAAATCATAATAAAATAAGAGGATTACTGACATTACAGAATATAACTCCAGCATTCATTTGCATATTTAGGCTGCATGTGTGTCAATCGGTCACTAAATAACTGGTTATGTTAATATTAAATTGAGCTACTGATGTGACATACACTTTAAAGAAATCTATTTCCTTTCAAGGCTACCATCAAAATGTCTGTGAACACATGCAAGATCTGATTTGGTGCCACAAGCTTCATCTGTATTTTGGTTTTGAAATAACTCTCCCTCCTTCAAAGTGTCAGGACAAAGCTGAGATTCAATAACATCCAGATACCTTTAAAAGATGTAAACAGTAAAATACAGCACCATTTGTTAGACATTTTAGTCTGAACTGCAACATTAAATCGTCATGTAGGCAGTATAGGGGACAAAGTACACATGAGGCGAGTTAAAGCTCCTGTGAGGAGTTTTCCCACTGGTGACCCAACTGACTGAAACTGATAGGGATGCCTTTTTATGACCAAGATAAGCAAACCAGACCATCAGCAATAAAATATTTCTTTCTACATAGCTATTTATGAAACCTGTAACAGCTGCCACAGGGTAGGTGACAATTCACCTATTCGTAATAATACATTTGCTTGTAAATTATGATAAATACAATCTTTTCACGTCATAAGACAAGACCAGAACAGAGTTAGGAGGTACCACTTTATCAACGGGGAGGCCAAAGTCATCACATCGGGAAAGTTTCCTTATAAATACTCGAGTTTTTGAGTCAGATGATAACTTGAGTAAAAGTATCAAAGTGCTTGTTTTAAAAATACTTCAAGGCTGACAATTTTACATTGTGATTTTTAATGCCTGTAACTGCTGTGAGGGGGTAGGTACACTGAAGAAACAGCCTTGGTTACTTGTGAATATTAATGGTTGGTGGTATTTTAGCATAAAAAGACAACAAAATGAGGTTTTTGTCTCTGAAATTCCTCCTGAACAAGACAAAATCATCAGTTATATTGGAGTGATTACTTTGTCTACAGGGGGTGCCAAAGTCAAAAGAGTCGAGAGTTTTAGGTATACAAATATCTTCTTAAATTAATTCCAAAACATGGAAACAAGGACAGCAATGAAGAATAAATGAGATGCTTATTTGCTGATTTGCAATTCCCAAATAACAAGAACCAACACACAAGAAAAATGGCAACTAGGTAACTACAAGCAAAGATAACTTAAAATCAATCAAACTTGATTTGTGAAGCACTTTTCATACAACCATGTTGCAACACAAAAAATAAAAACAAATTAATGAATAAAGTAAGCACTCAAAAATAAGATACCCCGACCCATAATCCAAACACAAGATTGAAAACGTGCTATAAATACGAAACTCAATAAAAGCAGGGGCTGGCTAACTAAGGAGACATTATTGTAAAGTCAAAATGAGGAAACACTGGAGGTAGAATAAAAAGTTAAAGCTCCAGATATTACACTAAAACAACCAAATTAACAATAATACTAATTATATTTTAATTTCAAAACCTCAAACATGGTCTTAAAATATTGGCGTGGGTGCTCAGGAGGAGAATCGTCAGTCATTACCACCTCTAGATTTACTGTGTTTTCTCTAGGGTCAACTATGAGTGCCGACACTACGAAAACAAACTGCAAAACTCCACCTACACAGTTTGCCATCTTTCAAATTGGATACATGAAAACAAAGAAATTTAACCAGCTGTCTTCAGAGCAAAAGTAGTGCATGACAAGAGTGTCAAATGTCGTGGAGTAGAAGTTATATGTTTACCTTAAAAACAATACTCAAGGGAAATCGACATACTCAGACATTTATGAAATTTTATGGTTAATCTTTCAATCAGGAAACTTGGTGGAGTTGACCTCTTGTCCTCCAGTTAATGTACCTCTTGTGTGTGTTTTGTACTTCCCTGAAAGAATGACTATTGACTATTCAGCTCCCATTTAAAACAAGGAAGTAAGCTATGTTTTTATGTCACACCCTAACCTTTGCACCAGAGAAATGAGTTGCTGTTACTGTACCACAGGTCCATTGGCACATTCTCAGAGGTCAGCTCTACTGCATTATGGAAAATTCACAAACCCCAGAGAGAGACGGTATTGTCAATGCTGCATTCAAGTGATTGTAATGTGAACAAATCCATACCCTTGCCAAGCGTGACCCCTCCTTATCACTGGTCTGTTTTTAACCAAAGATGGGTCATGACAGGGCTTTGAAAAAGAGGGGTTAAATGCTGTTCCTATAGATCTTTTAAGAAGAGGGTTAACTCTTTAAAACAAGTCAGGCTGAAAACAACATGTGATAGACCTCACTGGAAAAAAGCCTGGAGTCAGGACCGAGCGCAGGATGAAAGAACAACAGAGTGAGTCGGTGACTGTGTCCGTGGATGACCGAGCAAAGTGGGGGAGTTATACGAGAGCCTTGTGTAGGTGAGGTGTGTGTTTGTGTCTGTGTATAGGTGTGTGTCTGTGTGTCTGTGTGTGTGACATGGATGCCAGACAAAGAGTAGAGTAGAGAGTAGGACAGAATCTTAAATATCCCCGAGAGGCGTTTTGTTTCACAGTCAGCAGATACACAGAGTCGGGCATGTACCGTGTCGTCAATAGCAGCTGTACTGACTGTTCACCTCTGTCCCTGGGTATAAAATGTGTCCGTCAATAAGCACAATCAATTCAGTTAAACAAATTCAGTATTGTGAGAGCTGGAGAATGATCACATAGATTTTTTTGTGCTGAGGAAAGTCATTCTGTCTCTGAACACTTCTGCTTGAAACTTAAATCTGACGTTTCGCCCGCTCAGTATTCTTGGCTTAGCTGTTGAGATTACGAATATCCGTAAATTAGAGCCAAGCACATAGTTGGTGTTAGGTTGGTGTCTGACTAGTCAATGAAAATGAGAAGTTTGAAAAGAGCACAGAAATCAACCAAGAATGTTTAAACATAGTAGAGAAGAGTTACAGAGACATCTAACAAATTAAAGAAAACAAAGTGCCGCTTTCGGTCTTCATGTTTGGCCTTTGAAGGTTGCAGCCCCTGGATCAGGACACAGCTTATGTTTTGGCCAAGAGCAGTTGCTAAGCAAGCCAGTTTTGCACATAACACTATTTGGAGTAGCAGGTTGTTGATTTGCACACCTCAGTTTTTATACCAATTATAAAAAAATTAGATGTAGTATGAGCGCCAGTGAAATTTAGAGGGACTCAGAGCCAGTTTTAGTTCTTTATAGGCACTGCCAAGCTAGCTGTTGCCACTCACTTTCCAGTCTTTGTGCTGGGTACACTAGTTGAGGTCTGGCTGTTGCTTTTGGCTTTAGCTCACATATTTGACAGTGGTATTAATTTTCTCATCCAAGTCTGGGCCAAGAAAGGGAATAAACGTTTCTCCCAAAGGGTCCCGAAAATCATCCCAAAGTATCATGTGGAGTCTGGCTGAAAAGTACCCAGCTTCTCAATCTTTTCTTTTTTGTTACTGCTGCAGCATATGGAGATGTCAGTTCAAGTAGTCACCTCATATAGACAGGCCTACTCATTCATTATAGTCATTATCTCCAGACAGCTAGTATCAAATTAAAATGTGCTTGAAAAACACCTCTGAACCTGCAAGAGGGTTAAAAAACAAAGAGTGGAGGAAAAAAAAGAAGGAAAGGTAGACTCTTTCTCACCGTCAGCAGGAGTGGAGCAGAATGGGACCAGCATGTTAATTGGTGACTCGATTTGCGTTTTAATATTGAGGCTGCGCACGACTGAAGACAGCAAAAAGCTGTCCAGAGGTTTTCCCTTCTCTGTGGATATCAGCAGCATTTTCCTCCTGCACATTATTCAGTTTATTTTCTAAAACTTTAAACCACATAAATCTGAAGTTCTTTCACTGCTGTGTGGTTATGCAGACTACTTAATAGGAGCTAAAATGTTCAAGACATTTCAAGTTTGGAGCAATTTGTCCTCTGTTTTCATGAATTACAGGGCTGAATGAGGCCTGCATCCTGTTTAAAACTGAAATAGATTGGACTATATTTTTGTCAACAGCAGTTTTTATCACCGCTGAGAAGAGGAAGCTGTTTAAAAAAGAGGGAAATTCCATGAACCATTTAAGATAAGAGTCTAAAACTGCTTCTGTGTATTTCACTCAATATAGTTTAATCATTAAATACTAATTTGGATTGTTGAGACGTGATTTGTGGAACAAAAAGCGACGATTGGATAATGACATCCTTGTCTCACTGAGGAAACAGTGTAACTCCACAGTGTGAAAACAAGTGCAGCACAGCGTGTTATGTGTGTGCCACAGACACTGTGAGTCAGGTAGCATTACCAGGAGCCAGAGGGAATCTACAGCAAAGACAACCAACCCTATGCACACATCTCTCTGGCCGACACCTAAATGCCTGAGCAGACAGCAGACAGAGCGATAAGAACTTGGGCAGATAAAGGAGCCTTGGTGGTGAGACATCGCAGAAGAGGAGCAGGGCAGAACAAAGTAAGGAAGCTGTAGAAGTCTGGGGTGATAAGGAGTAAGATGAGAACAGATGGGCATGTGTGTTTGGATGTGGATAAGGTGTCCAGAGGGCAGGTCTTGGCCGCTCTTGACGGTGGGTGCAACGCTCTGCCATAAGCTGAGAAATGAGCTTGCTCAGAAAAGGTGAAATTAAACCGTCCAAGAGGAGCCAGAGAGCAAGAGAGAAAATTGAATCGGGAGTGGTCTCTCTGAAGTCCACAGAAATATCAATGAAAGTTGAAAGTCAGAGAGCCAGCAGCAGAGTTAGCATGCAGCATGCAAAGATACTCACAATGACTGATGAGGTGCTAAAATACTCACCTGTCTCACCGTTTTTGTGTCGCATGCAAACAGCTACTCATTAGCACCAACGAGTGAAAGACAGTGAAGGACATGATTGTTTTTATTACACATGACAAGCAGATAAAATCCAAATATTTCACTTAAATATACAGAGTGTAGAAATAGAAATATTTGGTCAAGCTCAGTGGGCGGATCGAAATGCTCCCCTGCTCGCCCCTCTGTTTGGGAAGCAATGGTGGTCTCAAAGGACAAAAAGCATGATATGACAACCACTCTCTTCTTCCTCTTCTTCTTCCAAATGACGTATTTCATGAAGCCGCTCACTAATTACAAAAACGCAAATGCTACAAGTTTGTCTGCTTTGGGCTACTGTTAAAGCATGGCAGTGCAAGATGGCAGCTTCCATGAAAGGGGGACCCATCTTAGGTAAACATAAAGTCATATTTTAGTCAACAAAACATGATTTTTATATTTAGGTGCTTAAAAGTCTGCTCTGCATAAACAACTAAATACTACACAATGAACCTTCTGCAAAGTCCAGAAACCATCTGAATGAGGGGGGTCTAGCCTCTGGGGACATCTGTAAAAATAACTGGTGCCAATTACTTGAGTTGATATTTTACTGGACAAATCAAAACTTCAACTTACCTTCAAGATAAAACCAAAGGATTTCCAGAGTCTTTAGGATCCATCCTCTGGAGATCATGAATATGTTTAACAGCAGTCCGTTAGATAGTGATGATTGTTATGATGGCTGAACTGCTTGATTAACTGCTATGGCAAGTGTGCCCACATAAAAATCCAAACTCGGAAGAGTCCAGGGCATACTAAAGTGAAAAGGGATCATCCTCTGGGGACCATGAGTATGTTTGAAAAACCTCTGCACCAACTGCTGCTGCCAAATAAGAAGTCAGCTGAGCCCTAGAGTCATTAGGATTCATCCTCAAGAGAGAAACAGATCACTGAAAAGATTTTAGTAATCATACGATTTTATTCTTGATGGGAGTTTTAGAAACAGACCAAGTCACAATATTACCATTTTTAAGGCCTGCAATTAGCGTTGTTAAGAAGAAATCACTGATCTGTGATAAAGAAGTTAAAGGCTGCAGCATCAAAATGACTCCAGTTCAGCTTCCTTTCTCTTTCTAATGTTTGAGTCGCTCTCTGTTTAATTGGGTGTGTCATTTAGATGATACGATTCACAGAGTCTCTGAGATTTGAACACAGTGATGCAGTTGCTGTTTAAGGCACACAGTGCAAGCTGTAATTCATTTGCAGAGCAGGTGACTTTGAAAATAGGTTAACCCGGCGGAGAGGTGGAGTTTTACAGTACACTTTGTGCAGCTGGTGTAAAGGTCTTTCTTTCTTTTTTCTGCCTTTTTTCTTGTGATCCGTGACAGAGTGAGGACAGTGACACTGACTCAGCCTTTGTCTCCTCAATGTTTCCGGACAGAGTGAGGCGCCCTGGGTGCCTCTGCTGTCTATTGTGACTGCAGAGAAGAAAGAAAGATCCAGCTTGTCTGCATAAAGACCTATTCAGCATCATTTCTCTTTGCCAGCAACACTGTACACCCCTAGAACAGCAGTGAAGTCTCAGCACTATCCTTAGCCCGGAATCTGTTTCCTCATCCACAGCTTCCTTTCTTCTAACCCTATATCCCTATCCTCACTCTTCCCAAACTCAGGCTCAACCTTAGCTCCGTGCCCCATTCAGAGTCCCAGATGACAGCTCGGAAACATCCGTTACCCTCCCACTCTACACGAGCCTCCACTCCTCTCCCTCCAGCCCCTGTGGCGCTTGGCACCGATGCCCATCACATAGACAGATGGAGCCAACCCTGACCCCTCTCCTCGCCCGTGGGGACGCCAGCAGAATCAACGCCTGACTAGAGGAGAGGGGGTGAGTGAGAGTGCGTGTGCCGGGACAGGAAGGAGAGTATTGCTTTGTCACCACAGCAACACACCACCCTGTCTCCTGCGGACTCCCCTTCAGGCCAACCCAGCGCCCTCGGCTGAAAATGCAAGGCAGCAGGAATTTTTCAGCAGGACCAGAAGGACCTCTGTCTTCGCCCTAAAACCTTGTCAACCATTATTTTGTTTGTTTGTTTTTTATTGGAGGGGAAAACCTTCCTCTAGAAGAAATAAGGAACATTGTCACAAGTCCAAGAAGAACTCTGACTTTGCTAAAGGTTGGTTAAGTTTTCTTAAACACTGAAAAAGTTTCTCTATAAGTTTTTGCCTCTGTCCTTTCTGATCTCAAGAGTTACCACAGGAAAACCTGCAGACTTAGACGTGCAAAAGGGGCTTTTTCGATGTGCTTTTCAAGTCTGGGCTGCAAAAAAACAGTATATATAGACTCCAGTCTGATCTTCTTTGGATGTGCACATTTGTTCTTTTTAAAGCTGTAAGGCATCCTCTCTACTTTGTCCAACATTCACTTTATTTTCAAAGCATTTGCAGCTTCATTCTCCTGACTGTTTCCACCTGCAATTCTTACAAGAAACAGGATTTTTGCCTGCCGCACTTCCACTGGATCATGTTGACGTCCTCTAACCTACTAGCTGACCTGCATTCTGATTAGCCTTTAATGCTCGACAACCAATTTTAAAGGAACCATGAAATCAACAATAAAATGAGACACTAATGGCCCCGTGAAATGAATTCAGCCGGCTGACATAACAGAGAGGGGAATACCGGAGTCCCAAAGCTTCCCAGGTAATTGGAGTGCAGTATAGTGTTTTTTACTCCAAAGCACAGCTCCTGTGGTGACCTTGCAGGCTGAAAACTCAGAGGGAGGCAGCTATAGAGTGAGAAAGAGAGAAAATGATACAGTAAGTCCAGGGTTTCCAATTATCTTTGGGATTTTTCATCATTACTCTCAGCGCATTAGCATAACAGAGAGTGTTTGGACGGTTTGCGTCAAACTGTCTTCAGTCATTTTAGTTCTGACTACAGGGCTAAGCATCCAGGACACACTTATTATTCTTGCAACTTAAAAGTAATCCGTCAGGATTCTCCGCTGATAGAATATCTGTTTCAAATAAATTGTGGTAATGATCAGCCTAGTGAAGCCCCTTCAGATGGTGAAATGTGCTGATGCAGTGTCGGATGAGTAAGACGCTGTCAGGCCGGCTGTAGGATCCCTTTGATTTCACATTGGTTTGTATTGTTCATCTAAAACTTTCTAATTGAGGGAAAAGAAGAGAAAAAGTGGATCATCAATGAGGCCGTTTGCTTGTTTGAGGCAAGTTTGGAGGATTCATCGTTAGATCTAACAAACAGGAAACGTTGAGGGCAGAAATACTGTGTCAGACTGTTTATCACCACCCGCGTATCGTACGTGCACAGCTCCACAGTGTCGTCATCTTACTTACTGTATCATATCCTTATAGCTTAAATTTAGACAGGAATTATTGTATCATATAATATCAGGTTATCAGTCGGGCTGCGATCGATTTTAAACCATAATCAGAATATTTGATTATGACGATGTCAAAAAATTTAAATCATCAAATCAATTTCCCTCTCTATCATGTCTCAGACCTCCAGGCCACCGTAGGCTCCCCTTCCTGTGGGAGTGCTTCCCAGTTCCCACACACACCAGTGTAAACAAACATGGCGTTTGCAAAAGAAGGCAATGATTTCGTGGTTAATAGGGCCAGAGCATGTCAGTCGTGTGGAGTTGGTACGACTTCGCAGTTTTGGACGAAGAGCAAACCACTCCCCGCTGCTAAGTCTGTCTGAAGGCGATATCAACCCATCCACACGGAAACAAATTCAGGAGTAAACGAAAAAGTTTTTTGGGTGACCATAAACGGTACTTTTTGAGAATGGGTACAAGAGTGCATAAATCCGTAAACGACTACCATTTCACCGCCGCGTGGATGCCTATCTGCATCTCTTGAAATGATTATATGACACACAGCGCAACTCTTTCACGGCGCCTGCGCTGTCCGGCCAAAACAACCTTTATCCGTATGTTCTCTTCTCTTCTTTTGTGCATTTCCTCGGCAGTGTTACAGCGCCACTTACCGGCTTGGCATGTGCACTACATCGTTTTCAGTGGTTTTGTTTTGAGAGATGATAGGAAAACTTATTAAAGTGGAGTTTGGTGATGTTGTCACAGAAAAAGAAAATCAAGTTTTCAAGGAAAAAAAATGGGACTTAATTTTGGCGAAAATCGTGCAGCCCTAGTTATCAGAAATGTTTAAGGTTTGATTAGCAACTGAGAAGAAAACTGTTTTACAGATATCTATCAGATACCCGCCCACCTTAGACCTAGTAGACCTGCAGCAGCTTCCTAGTTTTATAGTTGTAATGAGTATCAACCGTGAACTTGAACTGAGCCTTAAAAACAAAGTCATGTGAGTTTGAATAAACTGTTTGTGTTTTTAATAACTCAGGAGGAGGCCGGTGGAGAGTGGAGCAGTGCGGCAGTGTTTTTGTAAAGATATTTATGAGTCCAATATGACACGGCTGATATGACTGAGTCTTGAGGTCGTATAAGTGATAAAGGAGGAAAGGCAGACACAGTCCAGCGGTTCAGTTGTGTGTGTACTGTAGTGTGTGTCTACAGGGGGATAAGAGAGACAGAGATATACTTATGCTGTTATGGATTCGATTTCATCTTATGCTCTCTGTTGCGTGCCGCTGCTTCTCTTTCAATCATACGGTTTTGTCTTTGCTTCTCTTTACTTGTAGCTAATGAAACAGAAAACAACACGCACTCGGACTGAATGAAAAGAGCGATATTTTAAAGACCTTATCAAAAGAAAGAAGTGCATCACATATTGTTTTTTGTCACCTTTACACCTTTGGCGCCTTCCCCAAAAAAACATAACGTACACAAGCCTCAATTACCGTGCTATTTCTGTGGTGCTACCTGTCAGTGGCACGCTGAGCTCAAACCAGCTGGGATTAATTAGTGCCTCAGCAAACAGGCATGCCCACCCACGTTTGCACACGAATGCACCTTCATCCTTGTCCTTCTGCGTGACATATACATGAGAATGAACAGTAATGTGTTCTTTGTACCATTCGTAAGTTGCGGTTCATTTCCGGAAAGGTACAAACGCACAAACACGGGCTTGTCCATCAGATACAGAATATAAAGAGCTTCCTGAACAGCATGTCGCCAATAAACACCCCTCCTCCTCTGCTGTAATTACCTCACTGTTCATTTCGCACCTTGTTTATGCACCTCATATCTCCCCGTGTCATGGTGTTACTGCTCCGCCTCAGCACAAGGCACAAACCTGTCCACACTAATAAGACATGTGATCTCGCATTTATTTACTTCCTCTCCTTCCCAAACAGGCGAAATAAATCAGGAAGAAAATCGGATATAAATTAGTTTCTGTCGCAGAAGTTTCTGAAGTCACTGCAGTGTAAAAGAGATTTGAATTAAAGATCATGTTTTCCTTTTTCCAGATTGACAAATTCATTCCTTTATTATTCAGAGCGTTGTTTGTGTTTGCAAAAATCCACAGCCGGCGCAGACAAGCTGTAACTTCTGTCTGCTTGAGTCGGAGCTCGTGGGCTCGTGCCTAACGCTGCTGACTTTGATAGAAATAAAGCAGCTGACAGGTTTTCAAAGACAAGCTGTCAACAGCCATAACCTTGAGAGTGTTTGTTTGTGTGTGCGTGCGTGCTCGCAGGCAAATGCAGTATGTGTTTACATGATTGTGTTACGGGGGTGTGATGAGGTTACACACTACAGGAGAGATTAAATATGCTGAGGTAAGAGGTAAATGAATGGAGGAGGGAGTATTGAGCAGAGCATTTAAGAATGGTGAAATGAGCCTTTAGACAGGGAACACAAACAATAGTACCTAAGTACAATACAGTGTGGTCAATGCACTCATTAAAGATAATGAAGATTAACTGGATCCAAGGACCTGAAGGGTTCAAATGGGAGGAACTATGCAGAGAGAAAGTGTGGGCGTGTGTGTGTGTTTGTGAAGATGAGAGGCAGGAAATTTACATTTGTGCAAAGCTGTCAGTGTCTGTCTGTGTGTGCATACGGTTATTGTTTATTCTATGGGCAGCTGATGCTTGTTTTATTCACCACCTTGGTAGTGGCAAGTCATTATCATAGAGATAATGAGAGACGGAAAAAGGTTGCCAGTGTCAGCACGCCAAGTTTTCTGCACAGTCGAAACAGCAAGTTTGGGGATTTAAAGAAAAAGGGTGCGTTTGCAACTTTGATATGATGGATTTTTATCCCACATGCCTCCTTTACTGCAGGGTGTAGTCAGTAAGAACCTCTATTTCACCTGGAACCACACCCAAGTCATGGGAACAGGGGTTATCTTTGAGTCGACTTTTTTCACAAGGAGCACATGTGATCCTAAGTTGAAAAAGTTAGGAGCATACAAAGAACTTTAGGGGCACAATGAAAATTGATCAAATAATGTGTGTCTTATTGGTCGACATCAGTGCTATTATTTGATATTCAATTTTAGGTCTTTTGGTCACGACATGGGAGCTATTGAAGGAAAACAGCCTTTTCTGAGAACATCAACCGGTAATTAATCGATGGTCCCTTATTCAACACCCGACGTTGACAGCGAGGATGCCAAGTAGATTTAACCGCACTGCTGGTGCTATTCCCAGTTATGGAGAGTGAGAAGACAATGGTAGATCCGCAGGAGATGCTGACAGCTCATCTCAGTCAAAATGATGCAAAACTGGAGCAAACTGCACAGAACTGTAGGACTTAGTGGGCTTTTGTGGGGATTTGAATGTCATAAGGGCAATTTGCTTTGTGAATTAGACCTTGAAAAGAAGCAGGTAGTGGGGACACATAATTAGCAGCCGCAGTCTATTCTTAGTGATAACCCCCTTTATGTGCATATTAAATCTATGCTGTGCTTTGTAACCCAGGGGCCCTAAGAGAATACAATCCAGGACACAAAGATGCATTCCTTTTAAGCAGATGATTGACTCTGCATTGTTCTCTATTCAGGGTCAATGAGAAGCCCGTTTCTATTTCTGTACTATCCTCTATTGTTTATAAGGAACATTCTATGTGCATTATAGATTTATCAGACACAGATCAACGAGTTAGTTTAGCATTGGTGACTGTTTGACCTTTGTATGTAGTGGCAGTTTAATAAGTACGCTTTAACAGGATCGGACATCACCACTGAGCTCAACAACAGATCTTTGCCACTCTGTCAGTAAAAACACTCATGACAAAAATACTGCAACAAAATGTGAAAATTATTTCCCAGAATCCCACATTTTAAAAACCCTGTTAATATCTATGATTGTCCTCTCTTACAGGTAGATGCCACCGCCTCCTTAAACCAGGCTGGATTTCTGTGGATTTTTCGTTGATTGTGTCGGATGTTGATGCTGTCACAGGGATTTAGATCCGTCTCTGTATCCAGTCAAACTCTGTAAAAAAGTGATCACGGGACCAGAACTGAGCTGACATTGTGGAACCCTAAATCAAGCTGACACGACAATAAACCAAGCTGGCTTTGAATTTGTAAATTTAGTGCATATCCTCTGCGATCTATCCACCAAACTTCAACTGTTTTTAACTTTTTACGTTTTTTAAGTTTAAAAAACTTTCTGAACTTCTCTACTGATCTCTACACCCTTGTGGAAGCTGTTTGTTCATAAAACAAGCAGTCAAAAGAATCATTAGTTGGATTCAGTCTCCTGTAGTGGTGGCGTCTTCACTCATCAGGGTGGGAGCGGCGTCAGGATGCCTGAACTGGATGACTTTCCCCCCCTGAGGGGTCCCAGTGGCCCTGAATTGGGCTTAAACGGTCCTGCAGACCCTCTTCGGATTCAGCATAGCATCCTGGAGGAGCAGGTGGAGCTGTGGTGGTTCAGAGATCCTGGGAAGTCCCTGCTCTGCTACTGCGTGGCTGTGCTTCTAATCCTAGGCTGTGGGCTGGGTGGAGTCGGCCTTCTCTCCACCACCACCAGCGTCTCGAGTGAATGGCGGCTGGGGGCCGGCACGGCACTCTGCCTGCTCGCTCTGGGAGTCCTCCTCAAACAACTGCTGAGCTCGGCAGTGCAGGACATGAATTGCATACGAAGCAGGCAGCGGATCGACATGCTAAAGAGCGGCGGTTTATCGGACCTCCTTGTGGTTTTGATTACTGGCCTGTCGTTGTTGATCTGTGGAGGGGTCCTGCTACATCTGGCCTTGGCTAACCACATGCCGAAACCTGGCCAAGCTCTTAATGACATGTACATCTCCGGGGTGGTGTTGCTGGCAGGAGGAGGGGCTGCTGTTGTGGGTGTTGGAATATACTCTGTTGTTGTGATTCTGCTTGAAAGGACAAGGCCTGGGCGGAGGTTGGTGGACGGGGTTTTAAATATCTTCACTGTTTCTGGACACATGGACCGTCAGGCCCGCAGAGAGACTACCTCCAGTCTGGCTAATCTCATATAATATCTAACTCGACTGTATTATTTCTCCTCGTCTTTATGGCAGAACTTTGAGCTGCAGCTAAACTCAAGATCAGCTGTATTCCCAGTTAGAACAAGAGTAATCTCCTCATGCTTCAGCTTCATCACTACCTGATTTGACTATTTACCAAGTGAAATGAGTTGATTTTTTGTAATATCTGCTTGGGGATGTTTGGAGCAACAAGCAATCAAATCTCCCTCAAAGAACAAAGATGAAGGGATTGATCGCTGAAGATTTACAGCACAGATGGTATGATTGCAGCGCAGCAGAAAATGCCCAAATTCAGTTTGTTTTCCTAACATGTAAAAAAGACACAGAATTCACATTCAGCCGTGGTCATTTCGAGCTTAAATCATCATTTTAGTTTCTGTTCTGTAAATTCTGCTCCGCTCACACGGGACAAACGCCAACATTTTGGTGCCTGGGGTACTTTGGCAGAGGCAGCGTCAGAATGCAGGACGCCAACAAACCAGCATCAAAGTAGCAAAAAGAAGTTGATTTAAGTGGTTTTCAGGGAGATTCAGTGAAGTAAAAAGCACACAGAGGAAGTGTTGGTTCACACACAGAAGGGAACTTTTGATAGCTTTGCTTCTGGATATGCACAGCTGTGCAGAAATGTACACAGAAGCCTGTATTGTGAGGACAGCCGACAGTGGTATGGGCAATTTAATTCACATAAACGCCGTCTCTAAAAAAGATTTAAACAAAAAGATGTAAAAGGCTCGAGTCTGGCGAGTTATGATCATTATCTACTTATTCACCTGCAGCACACTGGAGATAATCTGTCTGTTTAAACATAAAGTGTCCTTGGAACAAACAGCACTCTGGAAGCCCTGAGGGGACATGCAATCACGTATTTTATTAACCCTGTATACTGGGTAACAAGTCAATTTGTTTTTTTATTATAATGGAGGTCTCAACTCAGCTGCAAAAGCACAAAATAGGACTTCATTTACCTCATAATTTTGGCAATAGCAGCATTGCACACTCTGATCCAGCCCTGTCTCGAGAAAACAATGAAAGTCAAAATGGCAAAAAATCAACAACTGTAAATTCAAACACTGGTAAACAGCTTTGTTTTGCCAAGATAACAGATTTTACCTTTCAGACCAGCGTCATTTAAGCTTCTGCGAAGAACTTCAATTTGTGTCAATTTTGGCGCCCCCTGTGGAGGGAGTTGTTATTGACGACATTTTTTTTTGGCATGGTGAAGACCAGATGTGGTGACCAACTGAAAATGCACCAGTCTAATATGTCTTTAAAATACAGTACATCTGTGACAGGCCAAGTTAGTTGAGGGGCTCAACATTAACCACGTGCACAAATTCATACAGCTTCTTCACGTCTTTCTCTTTTTCACGTTTTTTTTCTTTCATGGTGCCAATACAAACTGCCAGGGTGATGCCATGTTAACAAATGATGTTTTATCTTTTTCTTCTATTGTTAATTAGCTGTGTCAAAGCCTTAATCTACCCTGGTTCTGTGACACTTTCAGACCTTAAGCAGTAGAACGGTCTACAGTTTTGATCAACTCTATAGGCACTTCTGTAAACCCAGCACAAAGCATTTCGGCGTGTAGCCTAAGAGTTATTTTTATGCACTCCACATTTTTGCGCCCACGTTGTATACATTACAAGTGATGTTGCGCCATGCCAGTGTTGAGATTGTATGCTAGATTGAAACACTCGGAAGCAAGTTTTTGATTGGCCAACTGAAAGAGTTTAAAAGGGGAAGTGTTTTGACTAAAGTTTAGTGAGTTAAAACTTTATGAAGAGCAATTTAGAGCCTGATATGTACCCGAACCCAATATGTAACAATGACCCAAAAGGTTATAAAAAATGTAATAAAGCCAGAAGAAGAATAATTGGTCGATAATGTAACAAAAGTGTTGAGCCAGAAATGTAATAAAACAAATGTCATAAATTCCAAAATGTAACAAGTTGCTACTTTTGGGGCAAAAAACGATTAAGTTTTGGGCTCAGCAACTTGTTACGTTATTGACCAGTTATTATATTTTGTTGGGTTTTTTTTGTTTATTTTTGTTTTGTTTTTTGGGTCACTGTTTTAGGCACTAACAGGACAAAAAAGACCAAAACATGACCTTAACTGATTCCATCTGAGGACCATGACTAAGGCTAAAATTGAGAAATGCCATAGTGAATGCTTATGTCCACTCAGGGCTTCCGTAAATCACAAGATTACTCTAAGATTATAGTGTTAAGAGGTTGAGTAAAAGGCTCAAATGTCAATGAAAGATACAGAAGAAGTGAAAAAAAAGGGAAAAGACAAAAAAGAGAAAAGAATTATAACATTTTCTGACCATTTCTGTCAAACTGTAAAACATGGAAAAACTGCTTTGTGATCTTTTATCTCAATCTAACTTGATAATGATTTAATAGTGGTGCATTTGTTGAACCCGGGTACTTGTGACAGACCTTCAGATTCACTGTAACATTTGCTGTTTTGACACAAGATACAAGACAACATGATTGTTTTAAATTACAGCACTTTCGAATGTATAAATGCTTTTTGATTTGGAGCATCAACGCAGTATGGAGTCATTTCTTTGTCTTAACCTGCTCCGATCCATATTTTTGATATCAGCGCTGATGCTCATTCATTATGCTTTATCATCAATAACCAGTCTGCTCTGTTTTATTGATTTTTTTCGCCTCTTACTTCATTGCTCTTACTTTATGTTAAAGTTATTGTTCTCATTCATATCATTATTGGCAATAAATTAAGCCATTAATCTCAGATAATCCCCTCTGTAGACCATCAGACTGTCACAGAGTTAGAGTGGGTGACTATCTTGCTTCGTGGAACCAAATCTGAGGCAAAGTAATACAGGGGAACCAAACTCTACATGAATGCCAATGTAAATACTGAATGTTCAAGGAATGAGAGACTGATTTATTTGCATTTTGAGAGTTATTTTGTCCTAAAAAGATCATATCCAGTGGTTAATTTCACATCCTCTAGAAAAAAATTACAGAAACGAACCAGCTGGTGAAACAAACGCAGATGTGCAACTGGGAGTCCAGATAGGTGATGGTCCAAAAACCTGATTTCTATTCAGAGCATGAACATGGTCGGAGTCATATTTTCAGACAGTCAAAAAGAGAAATAAAGGGTTATTCAAAGTGTTTTACTTCATCTAGAGTTGTTATTTTAGAAAGGCAGAGTTTGCACCGATGTCTTTTAAAGCTAATTTCATGTACCAGCGGCGACCACAGCTACAAACTTTGGTACATCTTTCCTTTAGTGGTGATTATAAAATCTGTCTGCTTCATTATCTCTCTTTATTAAGGTCATTTTACAAAGCAAATGTTAAACAATGGAAATGTACATGTCCTAGCTTGAGCAGCAGCTACAGACCTCAAACCTGTTTCCTTAAAAATTAAGTCTGGTTCGTTTTTTCTGTGCCTCTGATGTTGAGAAAACAGCGATAAAAATCTGCCCTTAAAAAAAGATTAATACCAATATTGAGCTAAAAATGGCTTCATAGTAGTGGTCCCAACCACTGGTAGCTATGCAGGATGATGATGAAGAAGGGGCAGACTGCTAGCGAGCAAACTGTAGCATCCCCTGAAATGATGACTCAGCACTTTTTAAAACTGGTGCTCAATATTTTGAGTCCAAAAACATGCACTCAAGCTCCATAAATTATTTTGCTAAAAGAAAGAAGATTCATATTACAAGTTATAATGATTTGTTTTTAGAAAAAGGAACCTCAAACCTTAAGTGAGAGAAAAAACAGGTGCAGATTATTTGTTATCGCTCAGATTTTTTGAAGGATTAAGTTAAAGCACCTCAGTGCACAGAGTTTAATATCAGCCTGAACCTGCAGCTGGAGGAGACAACTATAGTCTAAGCACTTATGAATTATTGGATGTATTATTGGCTCAGATAACAGTCATTATCATTCTTCATGAAGCGGAGACAGAGGAAAAACTGTTGGGAAGAAAATTCAGTGAAATTTAATCCATTACATCAACATGGCTGGTCCTAGAATTTCAACGCGGCTGCAAAAGTTTGAACAGGATTGTCGAAATGCTTTATCATCTTCCTCTAAATAGGGGAAGCTATATGCTGAAGCTGCTGCATTGTTATTGAGTCTCATTTGTTCCCCGAGCAAAGAAAAAAAAAAAAAGATCCTTTCTGTCGGAATAAACACCATTAAGAAAAACTGCACATCGGCAAATGAAGGCCATTCGTTTTTTTTTAAAAGCCTTTGAACACCATTCCTCACAGCGAGGAGGTTCGTGTCTCATTTGTGTGTGTGAGTCAGTCACGCCTCTTTATCTGTCCACTGCCTATACCGCCTTGAGACAAACGGGTCACACAGTTAACACATTGTTGGAGAGATGACGGACAGCCAACTGCAGGCACAATGCACAAGGCGGCGACCTGCAGGGGCTGGCATAGACTAGCACCACTTTCTCTCTTAACGCACACAAAGAGATCCTGTAATCCTCACTTACACGAATCTGTCTTTTGACCCGCAGTATAGAGTCGCAAAGACAGGTTGTGTATCCGTGCATGACAGCCAGAGGAGGTGAGCGGAGCGAAGGGGGAGGCAGGTCTGTTACTGAGGGGAGAGGAAAGTGTGTGGGAGGACAGGAGTCAGAGAAAAGCCTTCGACTGAAAATGACTTAAACCACGACAAATGTGTCCTGCTTCAACCCCTGATGAATCCAGAGAAACATTTCTATATATTTGTCTCATGTGCCAGAGAGTTTTACAGGCCCTGCTCTGATTTTGGTGTTTCAAACTCAATTTAAAGCGCTGCTGTGTCAGAGAATAGTTTGAGTTTGACTGACAATAACCTGCTGAAGGTTATAAAGGTTCACATTTATCCTACAAGGAATATTTGGTTGTGTTGTAAAAGAACTTTAAATGTTCATCCTGTCTTTAAAAGGTACAGCATGAAGAAACTGTCATGTTTTGCAATATTTAGTAATTAGATTCTAGATCGAAACACACCCTTGCTCACTCCTCTCATCTGTGAAGCAATGGTGGCCTTTAAGGACAATTAGCTCATGAAGTGTATGTAAACATCTGCCTATACAAAAGCTTTTGTGCACAACAATCACCCTCCTCTTCTTCATCATCCTCTCTCTGGTGTACCGCGCAACTATGAAATACAAGAAGGTGTATGTCACTAGTTTGTCCGATCACTGTAGAAACTGTGTTTTTTATGTGCAGATTGTTTACTATTTTAAACATACTTGTGAATGTCATTGTCCATATCTACCAGCTCTGTTGCTCTAAATGTCACTTTATTCCACGCACTGCACCTTTAATTCAAAGGCTAGTTTCAGCCTCTTCACAAAACTTACTAAAGCAACTCCCAAATCTTGCACGATCATCTCAGATGCATCAAAACTGCTTTGCAACTTTTGAGAAACAACACAGCAGCTTTTTCATCGCCTCTGTTTACAGAAATTCAGTTTTTAAGTGCAGGAAGTGCAGCCTTGAAATCTGATTTTGGATGTTAGAAGAGTTCTGGTTTTCATTTTTAGTCTTCTGTATCGTTCATTTATGTATTAAATTTAATGGAGGAAATCAGTCCAGAGAGCAAAGAAGGATGAACATATCCATCATATTAAAACACCAGAACCAACTGAGGGACTCAAAGTAATATTAAGCTTTGTAAAAAGACTGAAGGTGCTCTCTTTTAGAGGTTCAAATGCATCAAGCAGTGGCGGTGCATTTCAGGCCTCTGCCACTTAGTCCTACTTAAATTAATACACCTCATAATACCATCAATATCACACTTACACATTACATCACCTTAATATAGGCTAGTCGAAAAACAATTTCAGGAGCATTTAAAACCTATAAGCACACATTCACAGTTAAGAGTAGGAAACAGATGACACTGTCAAAACTCAAAAATAAAAGATTTAAGTCAACAACAGACCACCAAAAGTACGCTAAGTGAGCTCAGACAAGTTTGTCCAATAAATTGCGCATTGTCGCCATTAAAAACATTGCTTGTACTCACCAATAGATCTCCTCCACAGCATCTGTTTACTTGAAAATAAAATCCATCCTCCTTTCTTTTGTGGAGAAGAGTTAAACGGCTCGGTCATACTGTTTATCTGTGCATTTCAGTTCCATAAATAAGTCCTTTTCTACCGGCATCGAAGCTAATGCCGAAAGCCGTGTCTGTCATACAGTGAAATACAGCGATAGCCGTTAGCTTAAGGATCTCTGGGTTTAGTCCGACATTTTGAAAAGTACCGCCTTTCAGGTTCTCGCGAGTGCTTATCCAATCACAGGACGCGTACACGTCCAGTTCAGCGTAAGACTCGAGATCTGATTGGCTATTGCGACTGACTTTGTCCATTAAAGGCGCACGGGAGTCAGCTCTGTTGATTCTGAACGGCCTTGGGCAGATTTCATATCACCTGACAACACAAGCTAGCTGAAATATGATTGGATAAAAAATTCTATCGTAATATACAACATTAGAAGCAGCTAAACCAAGTGGATATTATATGACATAAAGAGAACAGACAATAGAGAATATCTTAATTGGCATATTTATGAAAAAGTAAATAAATAAATGTACTTTTCTGAGTATGCTTAGGCTAGCAGAGAAGGCCTTTATGAAGTTTTTTAATTCCTGGTAAGCACTTAATGCAGAAATGTTCAAAGTTAGTTTTAGCAACCCAAAAGCGTCTTGAATAATAGAGGATTAGATTGCCTTAGACTCAATTTAACAAAGTATGTTAGTGTTTGTGATAAACTGGATTAAATAAGGGGTCTGTAAAGTCAATTTTCTGATATGAGACATTTCAAACCTGCAATTCTTGAGTTTTATCAGCCTTGTTATAATTTGATGAAACTGTCATCTTCACACAGACACACCAAACAGAAAGAGAAACTGGATACAAGATACAAAAATGTGTTTATTTCCAAATATATCCCTTTGCTTCCTATCCACATAGAGTAGTTGATAAATTAAAGACAACACATCGTAACACACGCTGACTAACAATCCCCACAGAGTCTGAGAGACTTCTCCACGCTGGATAATGGAATGATTGTAAAAGACAGTTTTTGTACTTTGACAGCAGAGATGCAATAAAGCGACACATGACTCCTCTTAGCTGCTGGCAGTGCAGCTGAGCTGAAGTGGTGCAGTGCATGCGCAACACAACCGGGGAGTGAATTACACCACGAATCCAGACCCGCAGAGCTCGACATATGAAAAATATAGAGTCACAGGAGGAAAGAAAAAAAACTGCCACAACATTTTGTCGATATTCTCAGATTCTGCAGAGAAATCCCTCCAGGTTAGTCTACCTTTGTCAGGCCCACAAAACCTCTCCTCTCTCTTCTCACTTTTGTCCTTCACACTCAGGAGAAATGCCAGTACAGTACAAGAACAAACACAAATACGACCCAAAATTCTGCACAGTGCTCATTTCTTCAGAGCTGCAGGCTGATTCGGAGCTAAAGGACGAGGTTACAGGCCCCAGGGGAGTGCGTCAACTGGTATTATGTTACACAGCCGACGCCTCCGACAATGTTGTGCCTTATTAATCATTGATCTGGTCGCTGGTGTTAGTTTCATGGCACTGGGGATTATATTCACAGTGCTAAAGGTGATAATACATAGGCAATTTTTTAAGGCAATAAATATATTAGAGAGATTTGGACAAAACGCGTGCATTCGAGAGGGGTGGAGAGAAACAGCCAAAGTAAGAAAAGGACTGTATCAGGATAAAAGTGGACGTAAAGGGACAGAGCGAGAGGAATAAAAACCCTCAAGGACGAAAATTTCAATCATGAGCCGCAATTTGGTGAAGCTGTGACTGTCTCTGCAAAGAAGAGATCAGTACATGGCACACTTCTGTTTTAGAAAACTCCCACATTGAAAAATTGTGGTCCTTTGAGAAATAAAAACTGACCATTAGCCATCACGGCTCCTGTGTTCTGGCACTACACAATGTGCTGGTTTACACAGTACAAAGCTACACATCCAAACTACCCCAAAAATAATGCTTCAAACTTAATAACTAGTTAGGAATTCAATGTTTTTCTGGATGATTTGTTGGAAATGGTGTCATGTTCCTTTAATTTAGCTCCAGGTCAACCTTGAAGAGTATCACATAAACAGAGAAAATGAGAGCTCGCCAGGATCAGACTGTGTCAAAAAGTCATCAGTTCATTATCCACATATTAAAAATGCTTAGTCTGAGTCCTGAGGAAGCCTCCAGAAAATAATCACAGGTCAGGTCACAGGCGGCGCAGCAGTCTCTCCGAGGAAAGGAGGATGTCTTGTTTTCATTTGTGAAAAAATCATGTGTCCTTCTGCACCTGTCCTCTGCTGTCCACAGCAGCCAGGGAGCCGGAGACACGGGGAGAGGAGAGACAGAGAGGAGCGAGGAAGGAAGGAGGACAGACAGACAGACAGACAGACAGAAAGACAGAGAGAGAAAATATCCATTCGTCTAGCAGCATCTGTGCCCTTTAGTTTGTCCGGAGCTGGTAATCTGCCAAGAAATGTAACAGCAGAGCATTAACACAGCTTTCTTCTCTTCGTCGGCCCTTCACAGCACATCACTGCCAATACGAGCCTCATTAAATCCCCAAACAAGATTTGCACCAAAACAAGCCAGAGTGGCATTCTGCAAATCGCATTAAAAACATTCAACACATTTCTTAAATAAATAGTTAATCATCCTCAGTTTCAGACTGAAACGGTCACAACTTTTACATGGTTTTAAAACAGACACATGCGTTTCTAATGAAGAGACACACTGAAGGAAGAGTGAGGGTGACTCTTTAGACATTTGTAAAAGAAAGTTTGTTTGTAAATTGTTGATACTAAATTAGGAAAATCTCCTGGCATCACTTCTAGCAGTCAAAAACCACAATATAAAAGTCGTCTATCTTAAAACTGACAGTTTTATTAGGTTTTGCATATCATAAAAACGCATCACTCCTCAGAGGAGCTTTAAATTAAGAGTATCAGCTCAAATCTGTGACATGCATTGTTAATTTGCCTGATTATTACCCAGCCGCTGACAGTCTGATATTTGTGCTGTGCGGTGCAGCCCCTAAATGCCTGTTCATCGCTCATTAATAAGTCAGCAGATTGGCTCTACAGTATCAGAGTATTGTTTAATCTGTGCGAGCGTGTCTGAGTGAAATCTGAGCAGCAGCGTCTCCTCTCCCTCTCCATGTTGCTGATCGTGATAATAAAAGAAAGGTGATACCGCTCTATCTCCAATCCAGTTCTCCTCACTCCATCTTCATACACTGTCCTTTTCTCTCCCTCTCTTTCTCTCTCTTCTGATATCACAGTAAGGCAATAGTAACCTTGGCATTCCCTGAGTGCCACCCTGGGAGCCGCCTGGCACTTTTAGGCATCACTCAGCCTCTGCAGCCCTCTGCTCGTACCTGACACATCCAGGTAATGGATATGATGGATGTTACAGAGTCCGGTTCATTCCTCGGGCGTGTTGCAGTCGCAAAACTGAAGGAGCCTGGCAGCGGTCCAGCGGAGATACTGGACTACCATCTCCATATCATTTCCACTCGTCCCCCATTGAATCTAGTCTGCGTCTTGAGGGGATTCTGCTGCAGTCTCATCAATATACTGTCACTCTACAAAGCAGTGAGGGCTGATCTGTCTCAAAATCAATCATGTGTTTATGACAGAGATGTAGCTTTTTGTTCATGAAACATTATTCAACTTCAGGTTGAGAAACCTCACGATAGTGAAGCATCTCTTGCGCTTGTTTCACTCAGACGTAGACAAATGTGACGCAGGTTCACCTTCAGCACAGCGACTAAAAATACAGATTTATACCTGCTTTTCCTGCACAAGCAACTGCAATTCTTCGGATTTACAGCATTCCTGTTTTTAAACTCGAGAAAATAAGACACAAAAGCGAGCGGGCCGGCAAAGTTTCCATCCTTGGCATCCTGTGTGGTGTCATTCGACTCCCCTGAGGATGTAACTCATCGTGATAGAGCCAGGTAATGGATATGATGGATGTTACACAGCTGGGTTCACTCCTAGGGCACGGGCTGAATAGTGTTTCAGAAAGACTGATCCTCGCACTGCTCTCCCACAGAAAACATCATATTTAACCTCGGCGTTAACCCTCGATTTGATAATGGGTTTGGAAAAAAGGAAAAACAGAAAACCTGCAATTCATCAAACCAACACAATGTGGGAACTGGATATTCATCAGGAATCAATTACACCTCTCATTTTGTGATTAGATCTGAAAATTCTCTGCTGAAAATGTCCAATTATCTAAGAGCGATAGCACTGATAGGAAAATTAGACCTACGTGGTCCTGATGAGGCACATCAGCTATATTCAGAGAGTTTCCCTCCACAGAAATACTTAAATCAGGCGCACCGGGGATTTAATGGGGGAACGAGTCACATCTGACTTATTAGACTCTTAGACCCAATTACTTTTTGCTTCACAAACAAAAGGAAAAAAAAGTTCCTAAACAGCTGAATTTGCAGTAAAAGTGAGATGGAGAGTTAAAGGCATCAGGATAAAACGTGTGTGTATGTGTGTAGGTTTTCTCACCTCCGCTTTGTGTGATGTAGCGCACCCATGGTAACGCCTGGTAACCGCTCTTCTCTATGATCTTAAGGTAGCGCACCTAGGGAAAACACACAGGTTAAATATAGTGTCAGTTACACACCAACACACACACACACTTGAGTAAAGTGGATGTAATCTTGAGAATCAGCTGATACTGGAAATTTACAGCACATTAAAGGTTTGATAATCCTGAATGATTTTAAGGATTATGTCTGTCTTCTAAAAAGTGAAACTGACTGATTAAAAGAAATCTTAGGTCATTTAAAAAGAGCACCTTCACTAACAACACTACAATCCACTACTCTGAAACTCAGAGTCTGTATTCAGGGTCTCTGCAGGTTTCAACGAGTGAAATTTAAGACTTTTTAAAGACCATAATAAATACAATCTAAGACTCATTTACCATCCATACTGGCAAAAAAGTTCAAAAGACATGAAGGAAAATCGGAACATTTTACATTACTTCAAATCAATCCTTATTCTTATGGCACATTTTTTATTTGTAGAGTTAATACATATTTAAAGACCTTTAAAATCATATTCAAGACATTTTGTGAGATTTCAAGAGAATTTTAGATATTTTACGGCCTTAAATTCAAATTACCAGATTTTAGATGTTTTAAACCTTTTTAAGACCCCGCAGATACCCTGTAAATAAAACATGAACGAGATCTCATCCACACAAAGAAGAGCTGTGGAGCTAAACGCCTGATTTTGTTGCTGCTGATTTCATTTTATTTTCGTTTAAGTGGTTTAAATCAATGAAAAAAAATCAGCTGTTGTCTTTTTACTGTGAAATTAGAAAACTCACTGTGTGGAGGAACTTGTACCTGCCCCCTCACAGCAGTTCCAGGCGTTAAAATGATGCTATAAAAAATGTTTATCTTGTCGCCTTCTGCCTTATTTGCTTTTGTTTTTCACAGAGACACAGAACTTTTAATTTTAGTCTATTTCATATCCTATAAAAAAACTCCTCACTGGAGCTTTAATTGATGCTCTCAACGACTCATTAGAGAAACACAACAAAATAAGCTAGTACTTGCTTGATTTGTTATCATAACTTACCATACAAGTGTCATTTATCAGTTAGTTTTCACATGATTTCCATTTGTTGCTCTGTGACGCTGTTGTTTCTGTGTTTTATCACCTGCTCGGTAAACTTGTGTTACTCTGAGATGAACTGTTTCAGTGCAGTATGCTTTGTTGTTATTAGCTCTGACTGCTCTGATGTTACAGATTTTTATTCTCTTGTTCTTTGCTTTTGCTGGAGTAAATTAAGTTGTCTAAAACCACGACGAGCTCAGACATGAACCTATGCTAACAATCACTATGAGTAAAGACTTAATATACACTAAAGGCTTGATATCATAACTGAAAATCAAGCATGCAACCTCAGAATAGATGATACTAAATCGTGTAATATTAACTAGGGAGTGCAGATTTATGTATTCAGACAAACATCAGTCAAAGTTACTTGTTCTGAACATGACTAAGTAGTGTGTTAACACAAATGTAACCCTTCTTTCTTCCTGATGTTAAACATGCGACTCAAAAAGAACTTTTGGTGGAGGAAACGTTAAAAAAGCTGCTGCTTATCACCTCCTCTAACACCTACCCGGTGGCGGTGGTAACAGACATTAAATACGGCTTTATAGATATAATCTTCTCCTTGGAGGTCTCCTTTGCTTTTACGGGTCATACAGAGGAAAAAAGTATAAATTTCGGTCTGTTTCATTACCATCTAAAAGTTCCCCACAGGAGCTTTGGGCAACAAAGATTTAGAGCTAACACAGACTGTGTTATAGGCTCTAATAAAGGAACCAACCTGGATGCCAGACACGGTGAAATATGGGATCTCAAAGTTCACAGTGATTGGTCTCTTTGCCTCCGCCTCCTCGCTCTCCACACTGGGCAGCCCGAAGTGTGCTCGCATCATGTACTCCTTCCCTCCCTGCACACACAGAAACAACAAGGAGGAAAGACATCTAAGCTGTGAGGGCAGCAGGTGAAACACAAAGTCCTCCCTGTTCAGAGAGTTCAGTCAGTTTGATGAGTTCTGTCCCTCGGTGTGTGACTCCTATTAATACAAGGGTGTCTGTCCGAAAATACAACAAACTTTGTTTTCATGGCAACAAGACAGACAACTCCTGAGTCCTATCAGAGTCAATCACATATCAATTTATGGGATTAAGCTCCTGGCAACAGGAGCATCTAACTAAATAAAGGTTTATTATTCTTTATACAGCACTTTGGTAACCACCACCTGAACACCGAGTCTTTTTGTACTTTGGTTTGACCTGCTGCAGATTAGATACCAGTTTGACTTGACAACTAAAAAGTTCACATTTACATCACTATTTATCTAAACTGAGAAGATCCCTGGAACTCGGTATATACAATAATAACAAACCAGCTTGGTATTAATAATGAGTATATGTATGTTAGGATTATTAGACTGCAGGGGTGATAAAGGCCAAAAAAGGTTCATTAAGAAGAAACTGATTAACTCAGTTATAATTAGGGATATAATTGTAACATCACTTTCACGTTATTACTGGAGCGAAAGTCTCTTGGTTCCATCAGGGACCTGCAGCAATATGAAATAACAGGTTCTTTTTTCTGGGGGAACAGGGCAGTTTTTGTTGCAGTGGAGCTGAGCAGAAGACTGCAGAGACTATAGTCCTCTGCACAGACGTCTTCCTTTGCACTCTGCTCAATGCCTAATTAACTTTTGGCTTTTTAAAAGTGATGTGTGCTGTATTTTAGTTTAGACATAAAAACGAGAATGGACAAAAAACAAACAAACAAACTAAAAACATCATGCACACAGTAAGGGAATATTAGCAATACGAGTGACAGGACAAGCAACTTTGCGAATCTTCACTCCGCAGATTCATTCAGACTCAAAGAAAAAATCCAGGCAGGCTTAAAGACCCTAAAGGAAAGAAGCATTTACAGCATCCCATAACAGTATGAGAGTTAAAGAGTTCAAGAAATTACAGGATGTACTGCTAAATATGTAGCCAAACACATGAGGACATTTTCTGTGGTCGAAAACGAAGGATTGAGAAGGTTAGTAAACTCCCATCATGGCTATAGCTATTACAAGCTCGCTACAAAGAGCCAAAGGTACGATACAATACGACATATGATAAGATTTGATATGGTGTGATACAATGTCACGATACGATACGATATCATGATACAATATAATTGGATATGGCGATACAATACAATATATGATATAATGATATGTTATGATGTGATGTTACGATATGACACAATATGACACGCTATGTCGATATGATATGATATGATAGGATATGATGAGACAATATGATAATATGATACAATACAATATGATGATATATGGTACAATATAGCAGTATGATACGCCATGATATGATACAATATGATGATACGATGCGATGTGATGTGATGCAATATGATGCAATGTGATACAATACACCCAAGTTCTGCACATGCTCAACTGCACCTACACTACTACTAATATATAAAACAAACAAAGAAAACAAAGTTAAAAACTGGCAATAACCCATACACAGAAAACACAAAGAACCAACACAAACAGCATAAGAGAGGAGAAAAGGGAAAGATAACAACTGAAAAGCACATCATGACACTGTTGCACAAACCCCACCTGCTTCACCTTTCACATCACATTCATGCAGAGGACACTACGTTACAAGACCATCAGTATTAACTAAATTTATTCAAATGCATTCACACACTACTATGTTACCAGGGGCAATAGGGGTTTCAATGTGCAGTCTTTACACACTACAGTATATGACTGTGGGAGCTGAGTACATACAACCAGACACACTCACACTCACACCGGGGGGCGACTGAGAGACTCATTAACCTAATGAGCATATCTTTAAGCTAGTAGACCTTTATTATTCCAGTTATAGATAAATGGATGTTATAGTTTGGTACCTAAGCCTTCACACATGAGATAATTCCTTATAAAATTATAACACTGAAACTCATTTCCCCTCCTGCTCTACTATCCCCTTGTTGGAAGGACGATGTTCAAACAAAATACTTGCTGTCGTGATGAGTTATCCAGGGACACGAGTGTTGCTTTGTATGAAACATGAATGAGCTGCAAAAAGCTAAACAACTTCAAACATTTGTGCAATGGTGTGTGTTTTAAGACCGTGCGGCTGTGTTTTCAGTTTTATTGACAGTGTTCAGGCAAGAAAAACAAACTCCAGACGCCGTGACATTAAGATAGGGGAATTTTTATGATGTTTTGCATGGTGTATAAAGTGACTCATATCACCTTTTTTCCAGCTTAGCCCCACCCACTGCGACTAAAGAGAAGAGCTCAGGAATAGAATCATAAACATAAAAGTTTTTCTAAGTGTTCAACTTTGAGGCACAGACTTGTACATTTCCAGAACATCAAATTGGTGATATAATCATCAAATCAAAATAACAGTATCACCATTTCTCGGTCTTGTCATTTTACAGCTGCCATGAAAAGTTAAGTATCGCTATCCTTGCCTGCAGCTAATGAAAAAATGTTAGCATAATATTCTCATTACCTTTAAATGAGAAGCCTGTAAAAATGTGCAGAATTGTACAGAGTAGCTGAAGGCAAATGACTCTGAAGCCTTTATGAGAGAGATAGTAATATTTGAGGTTGAAAAGCATGGACAGAGCTGAAGACTTCTGGTGATTTTAAGCGCATTTAACAGCTTTTTTTTCCCACAACAAGTCGTGCATCATTTCTGTTTTTAAACATTTAAAGTTCGGTTTATTGTCCTGTGAGAATATGCAGCTTTAAATGGGTCTAAAGGTTGACAGTGACAGAGACAGATGTGATTCAGAGTCAGGCATGAGCTAGATAACAAAATACGTCACCGTTGAGGTCGACTCTTAACCCTCCCTGACAGGCAGAAAGTGTAATAATTACAGATAAGAGATAAAAGCGTCCCGGGCTGAATTAATTCTCTGAGAGTGTTAAAATTTTCTTTAGAAGAGTTTATAGCACAACGACAAAAGAGACTGACACCGAAGTATTAAAGACACAGCAGGAGATAGAGAGGGGTGTTATTTTTTAGTTTTGTGACTCTTCAAATCGATCAAAAAAAAGCTAATTTTTGACAGTGAGGCTGATCAAACTGATGTTTGATTTCTTTTTCAGTGGTTTGTACAAGGTATTCATCTGTAAAGAGCAAACTGTACATCTGCTGTAGAAAATACACCAACTATTGAGAAGAATCATGTGTAAAATAATTCAAACTATCATTTTAAAGTTATCAGTTTAAGACATACTCAAATTTCTTGGGTGGTGACAGCTTGTTGTAAGATTATTCCTGCATGTGTGTTTGCTGAGCGATCTGTTAGAAATGTCATGTGGATTCTATATCAAATAAAATTTACGTTTTTATACATTTACTGCTGAAACAGTTTCTGTTAATTGAGAAAAGGTGTAACCCCCAAAGCTGCGCTGCCTTCTCCAGCTGTTTGGCATTCAGTCATGGCAACTTATGACTTTAATTAATCAAAATTAAAACAATTGTTTTGCCTTTGCAGCAGCTAAAGTAAGTAAGTAAATAAGTCAGTAATAATTAGTTGAATAGAAATGAAATCTTTGACTCGTGGTATCTGTGGTCCTGGGACTTGTTGCACCAGCGACTCCTAACTAACCAAAATAGAGTCTCAGATATGACGTTTACGCTTCCAGTAGCCAATCAGAGGAAAGCTTTTCTCCTTATGAAGAGACTGAGCGTTATTTCTTACACTTTGCCACAGCTAAAAAATATCAGCTGGTTATTCTCATCACTCAACCGACAGCAGCAGACAGGTATGACAAAGCTTTGCAAAAAAGTAAAATTGCAACACTGACATCAAGTGGTGCAGCAACTATAATATAAATCATTTGTTTAATATAGCGAAATATTCAATGCAGATCTCCGCGTAGTTCTAGGTGTAAGATTGAAGTTGTAACTTGCGTTTACGTTGAAACTATCTAAGCTGGTGCAACCATAAAACCCCAGTAGCGTGAAAACTGGACTTCTGCAGAGTTGAGTGTGCTTATAGATGTGATATGTACACTGATTTATTAGTTAGCAGTGAAGGCGAAAGCTTTATGAGTGCACTTTTCCTCTCTCTCATATCACTATTTAAGGGTATAACATTTTCCTCTTAGTTGTGATGAATCAATGTTCATATTGAAGTAAATTTAAGGAACCTTATGTTCCACACACTTCAGTAAATGTACCTTTATAAATAACACAGTTAACACAAGGTTAATGCTATAGGAGGAGATTTTTTGCAGCACTTACAGGGAAGGACTTGATGTTCCACTGCACCACGTTCTTCTCAGGCACCCACTTCGTGCTGCCGGTGCTCGTCTTGAACTTCGGCGAGTCGGCGTCGCTGGGCACAGGCACCAGGATGGACACGTTGTTGGCGGTAGAGCGGCTCTTGAACTGACTCCGAGCCTCAGGAGAGCAACAGAGGAGTTTAAAAGTCATCAGAGGCCCAACAAAAAGAAAACAAATGTAAACTTCTCCGGTGAAACCATGGCGAGCGCAATGATTATTCACACTGCAGCTTGTTATTGTGAGTCAGTACGGCTGTCAGGAACAGATGGTAATCGGTAATCCACCTGAGAGGTATGTGGCATAAATATCAAATAAGCTCCAGTGAGAGGATGACATGGGCAGATAAGGACACTGTACGCTGAGAGTGTGTGTGTGTTTATGTCATCATTACCTTCACCTTGATCTCCACACGGCTGTGAGAGAACTTCTCAATCACGCTCTCGATCCATATGAGCGGCTTCACCTGTCAGAGAGAGACAAAGAGAAAGTGGACAAGGTCAGAGGGGTGAGAGCTCAGAGCTTAACTGCAACGCCATGACACACATCAGCGGAGCGACACGGCAGAGAGAGAGAGGTTAGGTGTTTGCACAAGAGAGACAATGAGTGTGAAGGAGGCCCGCGGTTAACACAGATTTAAGGCTCAGCGTGTCGGCGAAGTTCACTGAGCAGCATCTGCATGAGTTTGTAAAGAGGAGAGGTGACATATGAGAGCAGACACCCGGAAGATGATCTTAATCTAAAGAGCATACTGTTGTTTAAACTGAGCAGTGATGTAGATACGGCATGGAGTTATCCAGCGTAAAGGACTTGAGCTATAAACTCGTAGTTATATTACATATTTTAATTATGATGATTACAATACCGCTTTATTGGAACAGCCCTGTTTGATTCTCCAAATAATTGATTAAGAGCGGACAAAGCTAATGGGTTTGACTATCAGGAAGTGGGGTACAAAATAAGCTTGATGGGTCAGTAATGAGCTTGTTGTAGTTAGGTGAGATTGAATGTTGGTAATGTGAAGATAAACAGGATGAACTTTTATGATTTTGATCTTTAGTTGGGTCTGAGCCGTCTTTGGCCAAGTTAAAGCCTTTGCTAACTAATCACTCTGACTGATGTTTTTATGGTGATAAATATTGATACCTGCTAATCGATGACAGCAATAAAGAAATTGGCTATACATGGTTCTAGGGCTGGGCGATAAACCGAAAATTTGTCGATACCAAAATTGACGACAATAACCAACGTCATTTTGCCCATATTGGTATATTCAGTGTCAAATAAATAAAAGTTGGTTTTGGATGTGTGTAGGTAGGTTATGGTCTCATGTCCCTTTAAGACGCTGTCCTACGTCAGAGACGTGACTCCACCCCATCCAGACCGTAACAAAGAGGGAAAGACAGGTGAGGAGATGGAGGACGGTTCAAAAGTTGTAGCTGCTGAAACAGACCAAGTTAATGTGGGAGGGGGTGAGCAGCTTGTGGAGTAGTTATCGTCCATTTATCGTTATCAAGGTGAACTGCTCAATATATCGTGATATTGGTTTGTGGCAATATCGCCCAGCCCTACATGGTGCTTTATCTAACCTCTCTGCAAAACTCACGACCTTTGGTAGTGGACACAGGCCCTAATAAGTGGAATAATAACAATATACTTATATATTTTTAACATATAACATTTTTGACATATCTGTGAACATAGTTGTGAGTACAGATG